AAAGGAAAAAAAAGAGAATCCCCATGGAGAAAAGCAATTCACCAAAGAAATAAGGCCATTTCATCAATATAGACTCATAAAAATGAGCCTGGCTTCCAACCACAATTTCAAGCATTGCCCTCAGTGCCAGAAATTTACTGCTGTTAATGAAATAATTGATGATAATCTTTTTTGTACAATTACTCTTTATTAAATACATACATATATACAAATTCTTCTCTGCCTCAATTTGTCAAAGGTTTAGACTGAATGATTTCTAAAGTATCTTTCAGCCTTAAAATGTGTTGATTCTAGGAAACATCCAGAGAGAGAGCTAAGAAGGAATTCTCAGGTATGACTCACAATTATTATTTGTCATTCTTACCTTTTTCAAGTGTCATATATACAACCATTCCAAGTGAATGTAATAACTGCAAAAGTTGATGTCAATTAATTAATATTCCCTTCTAAAAATTAAGAATCCTCATTGCAAGGTGGCCATTACTATGTTGATGTTGCCCAGAACATTCAGAAAACATTCATTCACACACACCCTGATCAGGTAGAGAGAAGGATAGAAGAAAACTCTGGAAATAAAAACAAAATCAGAACTGGATTGAGCTTCTTAAGACAGCTGCAAGGAATTCAACTAAGTTGTTAAGGCTTGCATAGGAAAAAGAAAAATCACTCAATGAAAATCTTTACAAACTGCATAACAGAGTAGGAGACATACTACCCGTTGTCTGATACTTCTTTCTTTCTTCTTTTTATACTGCATTCCTTTGCTACTCCTCTAATTTGAAAATTACCACTTTAATTACGAAACCTTACAAAAACTCCCAGAAAAAAAACAAACACAAAAATTGCCAGAAACACAAAACTATGAACACAAAAACTCCCCAGAACATTGAACGTTACCATTTCACCAGGTGATGTAGGTCAATGTTGGGAAAAGCCTCTAACAGGTCTTGGGTCAGGTCCTGCTTCTGATGCTTGTATTCTGTGATTTCTGATAAAATCTGTCAGGATTTACAGTACCCAGATTTTTACTTTCACATACATGTTCCTTTTCATGTACAGAACAATCTGTAGTACATTTTCACTATGTTTTGAAAGCAAATTGCTGAAGTTGTACTAATGTTTTCTATCTCAAAGGTGACTATGGGATTACATATGTTGGTTATCCTCTATCAATACAGGAGACATAAATACTGTGAATATGTTGTCAAGCTCTAAAGAAATTTCTTTAATCATTAAAGAATGCAATGTCCTCTGCTAGTTTCTGGTTCCTTAGCATGCATTGGCAGTTCGACTATTTAAATGATATTGTAGATACAGGTGAAAGCTTTTCTAGAGTGACAGGGTCTCAAATAGTATCTGGACCATGGTTGTTGTTGTGTGCCTTAGATCTGATTCCAACTCATAACAACTGTACAGGACAGAGGGTGAAACTGCTCATACAGTTTCCTAGGCTATAATCTTTATGGGTGTAGATCACCAGATCTGTCTCCCACAGAACGTCTGGTGGATTCAAACCACTGGGCTTTCAGTTAGCAGCCAAATGCTTAATCACTGCACAATCAGAGCTCCATATGTGTTGAATATATACATAACTGAGTGAACTATCAAAAATAATTCATACAAATGGTTAGACTTTGGCTCAGAACACAAGTTTTCGAGATAATTGCTATTTGGCCAACATATGAAAGAAAACACATTTTCCCTGGACCACATTTTTGCTTTTTAATGCATCAGAGTCACTCTATTGGTCACTGTTTGCTTTTGTTTCATTTTTATTTTAATAGATATTGTCCTTTTCTTGCTTGTACTAAGAGGATCTCCAAAGGTCCCTGCATATGCTATCAGATAAACGGTCCTTGTTAAGGGCAATGCCACTGGAAAACTTAGGGTGGCTCGTTGTTATTTGCTGTATATAATTAAAAAAAACATAGCTTTCAAATTGCAATGCACAACTATGCACCATGCACCTCTAATAGCCCTACTTCCCTTGTCCTGCCTTTCCAGGATGGTCTGCATTCCATCTAATTTGATGGTGAATTAACTCTACTTAAATCAACTTTCTGAGAAGATGATTTGCTTTCTCTTCATTGATGAATTGAATAATTCTCCCAATAAGTGGCCTTGTGTTTTTTAAATGGAAAAATTATATAGAACTTTTATTTTAGAAAAGAATGATTTATCTTTAAAAATATTTAAAAAGATATGTGCATTAAATATATCACCTTTTAGGAAATTACTATAACAACAAAACTACATTAGACTTTCTGATTTCTCCATAGTGTCCTTAGATAAATAAACAACCCAATAAACCATGTTAAATGCCCCAAAAGTGACTGGAAAGAGAATACGGGCATATTTGTCTATTTTGCTTGTGCCAGACCCAGAAGGTGGTGCAGCTGAGGAAGGAGTAGTGGTTGACAACTTTCCTGAAGCCCCTATGGTATTAACCGTGGTCTTAATCCGCGCCAGTCTTGATCCAAACACATGGTGGGTAGAAGCAGATCCAACTGATGCTTGTTGGGGCGCATGCCCAGTTCCAGCTGGAGTGGAAGTAGGAAAGGATGGAAATCCTCTTGCAGCAGATATAGTTTCAGCTGCATTCGCACTGCTGAATGGATTTGGACTCGAAGCTAAATAAGACTGTGATGTGGTTCCAGAAGATCCCTGAACAACTGTGGAAGATCTGCTTGAATGGTTTCCCACCTCAGTTCTGTTACCAACATCAGATTCAGAGTGAACCAAGGCATTTGTTCTTTTTCGCATGTTCAAATTGGCATCCGTACTCTGAAAAGTTATATTAAAAGTATATTAATTATGCCATTTTAAGTAGATTTGTACAAAATTTTAATAATCAAAATACTTAAAATGAGTCATTTCCATAAAATAAACCTTTATTAATATGCTACAAACACTCAATTTGACATAAAAACTTAAATTACTACCTGAAAAAGAATGTGTGTGCATTTGAAATCATTAGTCAAAAATCTGCTATTCCAAAACATTACCCATTCTTATAAATAAGAGCTCCCAAGGCTGCATGTTACACTATTAAAATTAATTCCTACTATAAGTAGGAGCTCTGGTAGCATAGTGCCTAAGGCACTTGACTACTAACCAGAAGGCTGGCGGTTCAAACCCACCAGCCACTCCTCGGAAGGAAGGTTGGGCAATCTACTTCGTAGTAACACTGCCTCAGCAACCCAAGGAGGGGTCGCTATGAGTCGGGGCTGACTCAACAGCACATAACAACAACAACATATTTTAACAGGCATGATAAACAACTATATAGTCAACTCTAGACTATATATGCTAATGAAGGAAAGCAATTGTTTAAATGATTCCAATAGTCATATCTGACTTTAGCATACGCTATAATTTTTGAAATCATTTTTCCTCCCTAATTATGTATATTCTACATTATATTAAAGTTACACTGTACTTGTTTTCCACACCCTCTCCCCCTACTATTTTATGAAGTAAGTGGTGAATGAGAAGATGGAGGAAGAGTGGAGGAGTAGAGAAGGAGAAGGATAAGTTCATAAGTAGTTTTAAAGGGACAATTCACAGATAATACACAACATAGATAAATTACATTCCATTAATTGAGAACTGTCTTTACAAAGGGAGATTTATTTATAAATATGAACCTATTTCAGTTCAAACCCACCAGTCACTCCTCGGAAGGAAGGTTGAGCAATCTACCATAGTGATACTGCCTTGGAAACCCAAGGAGTGGTTGCTATGAGTTGGATCCAACTCAACGGCAGTGAGTTTGGTTTTTGATTTGGTAGACTTACACATTCATCAAGCATGTTAAAAGGGTCCAATTCATATCTCATACACTTGTGAATTATTACCTCAAGGTTACTGAGTAGAGAAAGAAAAAGGCCTCACAAAACTCAGAGCAAAAGGGCTCAGAGAGGTTTAGAAAGCATTCTTCATGTCACCCCAAGTATTTTCCTAGGCAGGTTGCAGGTGAATTAATGAGAAATTGTAGTTTAACATATGGAATCTAATTTTGGTGGAGACAATTGAAACAAAACAAAACAAAAACAACACAACCATAAAAATAAATAAATAAATAAAGACACCATTACTTTCCCTGCACTTTTCTCTACAATGCAAGTAATAAGCACCACCCAATCAATTCTCAATTTGCCCTGGAGTCAATGCCAACTTACTGTGACTCCATGAGTTTCAGAGGAGAATTATGGTTCAATGGGTTATATTTCATCAGGTCTTTCTTGCAAAGCACCTCTGGTTGGACACAAACCTTCAATCTTTTGGTTAGCAACTGAGAACATTAACCATTTGCAAGTAGTAATGAATCTTCAGATTGTATTTATTTCTTTATTTATATTCTGATTTGGGTGAATGCCTACAGAGCAAATTGGTTCTCTATTCAGCATTTTGTTTTGTCACATTGCCTGCAATCCCCATAATGTAACAGCACTCTTTCCACTTCCTCCATGTTTTTACCACTTACTCTCCTTTTTTCCTTACAGAAAATAATAATAATTAATTATCATTAATTTTAAAATGTTATATATATAGGGAGGAGTATAAGAGAAAGGTAAGGTATTTACCCAAAGTTTAAGGAGCATATACAATCATTAGCAAGGTAACACGCATAACCACACACATGATACAATAAAATGTATATAGATAGAGACCAACGGAAAAGAATTGAGAATCCAGGAGTAAATCTAGCCAATCTTCAACAAAGGGCTGAAATCCATTCAATGGGGGGAGGAGATAGAGATAATCTCTTTAACAAATGGTGATGGCAAAACTGGATATCAATTTCCAGAAAAAGGAAATAGATCCATACCTCATGCCATATACAAAAACTAACTTGAGATGTATCAAAGATCTAAATATAAAACTTAAAATTATTAATCATTAAAAAAAATAGAAGCAAACTTAGAGGCCTTAATTTATGGCATAAATAGTCTATCAAACATAACTAAAAATTCACAAATTGCAGAAGATAAACTAGATAACTGGGCCCTCCTAAAAATTAAACATTTATGTGCACTCCTTGGAAGGAAGGTTGGGCAATCTACTTCCGTAGTGATACTGCCTCGGAAACCCAAGAAGGGGTTGCTATGAGTCGGAGCTGACTCGACAGCAGTGAGTTTGGTTTTGGGTTTTTTTCTTGTGCATCAAAAGACTTCTCAAAAAGAGTAAAAAGAGAACCTACAGACTTGGAAAAGTTTTTTGGCAATGATATATCTGACAAGGGACTAATCTTTAAAGTTTATAGAAAATTTCAACACCAACAGCAAGACAACATACAATCTAATTTAAAAAAATGGCAGAGGACATGAAGAGACACTTCATTAAACAAGATATTCAGGTGGCCAAAAAACACATGAATAATTGCTTGACATCATTAGCTATCAAAGAGATGCAAGTCAAAACAGCAATGATATCATATTCTAGTAATAGTAGCAAAGTTCATAAAAACCAAAAACAGCAAATACTGGTGAGGGTGTAAAGAGACTGGAATTTTCATACACTGCTGCTAGTACTGTAAAATAGCACAACCATTGTGAAAAATAGTATGACATTTCCTTTAAAAGCTGGAAATAGAAATACCAGCAATCCCACTATTATGTACATATCCTAAAGAAATAAGAGATGTCACATGAACAGATAAATGCACATCCAAGTTCATAGCAGTATTATTCACAATAGCAAAAAGATGAAAACAACCAAAATCCCATCAAAGGATGAATAGATAAACAAACTTCATACACATAATGGAATACTACTCAATGTTAAAGAGTAATGAATCTGTGGAAGACCTTAGAATATTGACGAACTTGGAGGAATTTGTGCTGAGTGAAATAGGTAAATCACAAAAGGATAAAATGTATGAGACCACTAATGTAAAAAGTCAAGTTTACACACAGGAGAAAACATTCTTTGATGGTTATTAGGGATGGGAGGGGAAGAGAGGGAAAATTACCAACTAGAGAATAGATATGCATTAATAATTTGGGTGAAGGAAAAAGCAATATACAATAAGAGGGAAGTCAGAATTACATTACCAAGGCAAAGGAAGACACTAGGAGGTGAATAAAAAGGCAACAAAGGTAAATATTATTGCATGAACAATCCTGCAGTAACAGTAATAATAAATAATATTCTATGAGTAGATAAATAGGCAGTGGATGCAAGCTGAACAGGTGTGGGATGGAGAATGGGAGTATATATAAGTTTGGCAGGGAATATTTCTACATATGTATCTGTATGTGCTGCAAGTATGTTCATGTATATAGTACAGCATATGGCAGCTAAGTTTTGAAAAACTTTTATCAATAACTCAAAACCTTGAGGGCCTGAGTCACTGGGCTTGAAGACTTAGGATCACAGTCTTGAGTGACACTACAGTCAACTGGCATACCATAGTCCATAAAGAATATGTTGCACATCTTACTTTGGTGAGTAGTGACTAGGGTTTTCAAGAGCTTGCACAACTATTGGTCTTTCCTGTTCTAAGCAAAGAAGAGTAAAGGAAACTAAAGACTCAAGGAAACAATGTAGTCTAAAGGAACAATGGACCAGTGAACCACAGCCTCAGTCAGCCTGAGATCAAAAGAACTAGACAGTGCCCATCTACTGCTACTGACACTCTGATCAAGATCATAATAGATGGTCCTGGACAGAGTGGAAGAAATACCTAAAACAAAATTAAAAATCATAAAAAAAAAAGACTACACTTACTCATCTGATAGAGACTGGGAGAACCCCCAAGACTATGGTCTTTAGATACCCTTCAAACCTGGAACTGAATCCACCCCTAGGGATTCCCTTTCGGCCAACAATAGATAGTGGCTAAGACACTTGCCTGCTAACCAGACGGCTGGTCGTTCAAACCCACCAGCCACTCCTCGGAAGGAAGGTTGGGCAATCCTACTTCCGTAGTGATACTGCCTCGGAAACCCAAGGAGGGGTCGCTATGAGTCGGGGCCGACTCGACGGCACATAACAACAACAACATAAAGTGAACAATAACACTCATGAGAAAAGTGGTCCTCAGAATAATAAATCATACAATACCAAAAGGGCAGAATTTGCCCTAAAACAAAGTTCAGAAGGCAAAAAGGGGCAGGAAAGAAGGATGTATGGAAATGGGGAATTGAGAGAGGAAGTGGGAAGAGTGGTGTTACGTTGAGGGGACTGTAATTAATGTGACAAAATAAAATGTGTATCAATTGTTGAATGGAAAACTAATTCTCTCTGTAAACTTTCAGCCAAGCTACAAGAAAATGGTCAAATACGTGTGTACATATATATATTTGTGATATTTATATCACAAAGTAAAACATGATTCAGAACAAAACTGTGATGAAATGCTAAATATCATGAGAAGAGATGGATAAAGGACTAATTGAACAAACAGAAGAAAAATATATATTTTCAAATATAATCTTATATTTTCCATAATATCTTCATTGACTGGACATTATGCTGTCCAAATTTTTGGAAACTCATTTTTCATACAACTAAATTCTTAGAATTTAAGACTTTCACTTCCAGCCAATATGGAGTGAAAGGAACTGAACTTACCCTTCTACTTGAAATGAACTCCTCCCCCCCAAAAAAAACTGAAAAAAATATGTAAAATAATGGTTTTAAATATGAAAGGTTTAAAATACAAAATAAGATTTAAAATACAAAATATGTAAAATAACTAGACAGTAGACAACACAGTATTATAATCCCTGAGAGTTTCCATACTGTGGCATGGGAAAGGGGAACCCAGGAAGAACACA